AACTGCCAAAAATAAGCCAATGTTCTCAAAATTTGTCTGAAATATGGTAAATTGTCCAAACTGACTTGAAATTTGTCCAAAATGATTTAAAAGTTCCATGATATTTTGACTTAAAACTCGTCTAACATGACTTCCAATTGTTCAAAATGACTTAATTGAGTCCAAAATTAATTAAAATTTGTCTGAAATTAAACCGATAGAGCAAAATGACTTGAGGATTTGTCTGAAATGACAAAAAAACCCCATCCAAAATGACGAAATATAACTTGAAACGTGTCCAAAATTGCTTAAATTGATCTTAAATGACTCAAAATTTGTCCAAAATGAAATGAACATTGTCCAAAATCATTGAAACTTGCCTGACTTGCCACGACCTATTTAAATGACCGTCTTAAATACGTCCAAAATGTCTCAATATGATTTAAATTTGTCTAAAATACATTTAAATTGACTTGAAATTGGTCTGAAATAAAATAGGTTGTCTGGAATGACTTGAAACTGTCCAAAATTACTTAAAATAATCCTAAATGACTTGAAACCTGCTGAAAATTTCTCAATTTGTCCCAATTAAGATAAGAAATCGTCCAGAATCATTTAAAAAACGTCCAACAAAACTCCAAATTTGTTCAACATAACACAAAGGTTCCATTTTGTTTGTGTCCATCTGTCCGGATGAAATCTTTTCTCATTTGCTGTCTGTTTTTTCTGTCTTCTTTTTCTTTTGTGACTTGTGTTGTTCTTTTCTCTCTGGGACAGTTTCGTCTCTTTTCGTTGTTTTTTCCATTTGTGACATCTTGTGTCACGTTTGTTGTTCATTTCCCACCATCAGGTTTTATAACATCCTGATGTTTATGTTTGTTTTTGGCTCCAAAAAACCTTCAGATTTTACCGTTTTTAACAGTTTTTTTTGTCAGAATCTGACTGTGTTTTTATTCCAGTGTTGTGTGATTGTGTGTTCGTCCACATCCAGGTGAACAAACACCTTCAGCTGCTCAGACTACATCCTCACGCGTTGCCGTTTCTCTCCGCTCTGGCCTTCCTTTAACCACGTCTCCCCTCTGAGCCGCTGTTCATCGTCGGGTCAATTCACAGAACAAATGTGAACCTGTGTGCCGGCGGCGGCGCTCCGTCGACCTTCTGCCGCGTCCATTTGTATGTGCAGCGGCGAATCACGGTGTTTATTCTGCGTCTCGGCGGAGCTCAGCCGGCGGATTAGCAATTTAGGAGCCGGAGACGTGGAGCCGAGTCGAACGGCGAGCCTCGGCTCAGTCGCGTTTCTGCAGAATGTTCCTCAATCTGCTGCTGCGCCGCTCACTGTACTCGCAGAATCAGAGGCTGTTTAGGGGACGGTTACTGCTAAAGTGGTAATCTTCTTCTGTAGATCAGCGCAGGAATGAGATGAAACAGAGAGTTCACAGCCCCCCAAAGTGTTTCTGTGGAGCTGCACGGCCTCGCAAGATAGAATACGATTTATTGTTACAGAAGGAAACGCTTGTGACGGGTGTAGCTCGGCAAAAATCAGTGACTTAAATTAACTAGCAAGTTAAAACAGGCCTACAGCAGAAAACTAGCAAGTAATACTGCAAGTAGTGTTACACAGGATGAGGAAAAATTACACCTTGTAATGAAGTATTACACGTTTTAATGACATAGTGCACTTGAAATTGAA